AAAAAAAAAAAAAATGAAGAAGAAGAAGAAGAAGAAGAAGAAAACAAAAGAAAAGAAAAAAAACTCTACCTTCTAAATGAGCCAAGAAATCTAGGCTTGATTTGTAATTTTTCAGAAATTCTGTAGGTCTTCCAGGTGAAAAGGCCCATGGTCTTCCCCTTTGGATTGCTGAGAGAACCTCTATAAGGATTGAATTGGAAAGGAAGCTAAAAACATGTAAACCTGAATTTTCTGCATACATCAAACAGTACAACAATTTCATAAATATGGGGGGAAAAAACTAGCAAATTAACATTAAGGCAAATGTAAGAGCATCCCATTTGTCATTTCAGAATATGCTGCAGAAATCCAATTTTCTTTATATGGATTGGATCTATCATCCAAATGAAGGGAAGATTAAGAAAGAAAATGATGAATGAAGAAGAAAAAGAATGAATGGACAGAGAAAGGGTTTTGCTCATTGGTGTAATTATCAAATCCATCAAATAAATAGGGAACAAAAGGAAAATTTGGAAGAACATAAAGCCATCCATGCTTTATTTACAAAAGATCTAGGGCAGTCAAGATGCAACACAAAATGGCCAGATGACAAAGCAAGAAGCTATTAAAATAGAAACCAGTTTATTAAAAGCGTAGGCAGCTCACTGAAGCACCAACTGTTAATTTGGTTTAAGAGAAACCTTAGGACTCGAAAAGTGTCGGGTTGTAATGTATGTTTTGGAGTTTAATCCTTTCTAGTCGCATGTAAACAAAAAAATAATAATAATAAGTGAAATCAATGCTTGTAATTGTAATAAACAAACATTTAAAAAAAAAAATGTACAAGTCTTGCACGTTAAGCTTAAGCCTAAAGCGCACACTTCATGTGCCTTTATGGGGCTTGTTTTACATTGGTTGGCTTGAGATGTTCCAAAGCGCACTGACTGCGCCTTGGTCCTAGGCACGCCTTTAATAACACAAATAAAAACTAGGGTAAATTACAAATACATCCCCTGAAGTTTACTTAAAATATGAATTGTCCCTTATGGTCTTAGAAATTACAAATACCCCATTATCAAAAATTTTTATTTAACAGGATTGACAAAAAAAAAATGAAATTCTTAACTATTCTCTTATACAATAATAAAATTACATAAATTGTTAATTTAAATATAATTTTGACATTATTAAAAACTATTAATTGACTTAACAATTTATTAATAAAATGAGTCATTTGTTATGCAATTAGAAACTTGAAGGGACGGGATGTAATTTCCATGACCACAGGAGGCAATTCGTATTTTAAGAAAACCTCAACAAGTGTATGTGTAATTTACCCTAGAAAATATGATTCTCTGATAAAGGATCCGTTATAAATGTAAGCCTTGGAGCAAAACAAATATCGGTGATTAAACCAACAAAGATTCATATATCAAGAGACACTACTCAAAAGAAAAGCATGATAACGTCATTAGTTTGTGTTTGCATGAAAGAAAAGTATCACCTTTAATAGAAGGTTCAAATAGAATGCAATAGTTGAAGTGCATGTTATGTTGTTTGCATTATTGCATACCTGTAGAGGAAATTTCAAGTAAAAATTTGCAATCTTTCTCTATATATTGCTTGATTTGCTTATAATCCTCTTCAAGTTCATCTCCTGATGCCCCCCCACCAACCACCCCCGATGAACTGTGTGGAATAATTTTCTGAATCAATGGTGCCACAACAGTTGAGCGAAAAATTTCTTCAGCACTCCTGGTGTTATCAATAGCTGCATATGCCCGTAAACAATTGAATATGACATTTGCATCCCTGTGTTCCAGTCTATCTACAAAACAGTGCCCCAAGCTAGCATCCAATAATAGGCTAGCATTTTGTATCCTCTTCTCCATGTTCTCAATAAAAGGCAAGTTCTGTACTGCCATAATATAGAAAAGGAAAATGTGTAAATTATTAATACAACCATTCACAGGTCATTGATTCTTCACATCAGGCAATGTCAACTCAATGCATGCACAAAACCAGCTCAAGCACAAATGAATAAAATAAATAATTATCTATGCCAAAAAAGGAATTGATGAACCACAATTCAAGCCATACTACATTCCCAAATTGGACATGCAATGTTTCACTCCAATTAGCCAGTCTGATTGGAAAAGTATTATCTCAACCATTAAGCATTAGTGGCATACAACAAATCAAATTTGTTTCCATTGCCCCCTACAAAAAGAGACACAAGTTTCCAAAAACAAAATAGTTGCTTTCAAGGAGTGTAGATTACCACCAAAGCAAAGTTGTACAAATTGCCAGCATGGTGAAATAGACAGACAAGCTGAAAACAAACCAGCCCTTAGGGATGTAAGAAAAACCGAAAAAACTGACCAAACCGATTGAACCAGACCAAACCGGCTATATTGTGTCTGTTTTTTAACAAGAATCAGTCTGTGCAGTTTTTAAATTTGATTTTTTTCGGTTTTCGATTTGGTATCGGTTTAAGCACATTGTGCACCGATCCAAACCGAAACCAGCCGCTTCAACATATATTTTATTTATAATATATATATATATAATCTAATAATATAATGATATTAATAAGTATAATAAATTATTAACCTTAATTAATTAACCTTAGCATCTTTATAACCTAAGTTTGTAAACTCTTCTTATATATAATCTTAACTCTAACTCATTATTCTTAAAACCTTAGTATTTTTAAACTTTTTTTTGTTTTTATTTTTGTTAATTTAGGAATTGAAAAGTATGCATTAAATGGATGGATTGGATATGTTTGAAATGGCAAACAAATAACTAATTTAATGTTTTTATATAGATTAGTGGTTATATTTAAAAGTGACTTAAGTTTGAAAAATCCTAAACCGATTAAACCACACCAAACCGAACCGTTTCAATCAGTTCGGTTTGGTACGGTTTAATGGGAGAAGCGGCATGTATCAGTGTTCAAAATAATAAATCAAACATTATGGGTTCTGTGTAATTTTTTACCTAAAACCGACCATACCGAACCGATTGCATCCCTACCAGCCCTTCTATCACCAAAAAAATGGTTTTTGGTTGACAATACCAAGATCACCATAAATAGAAAACCTGTTTCATGACTGGAAAGAAAATTAAGATGGGAATTGTAATACAATATCATTGAAAATACACAGATGACCTAAGAAGCACGGACACTTCTAAAAAGGTGGCGTATCCATGTCGTGTCCGTGTCGGACACTGACACTCATCAGACACTCTCCCGACACGTGTCCGACACTCATCCAAATGTGTCTTGATTTTTTATAAAGAATTTAAAACTTGGACACTCTTCGGACACTTGAAGGACATGCGTGTTCATCGACTAGACACACGAAACTAATTATAAGTTTGAATAAAATAACTTAGAATAAGATGATAAAGGAAAAATAACGTTAATTTATAGAAATTAGTGTTATAATGTATTTATTTATTGTCTTAGAATGACATGTTCATATATATGACATATAATAAATATATAAAATTATATATTTTGTCCGTGTCCCCCACGTGTCGTGTCCTACATTTTTCAAAAATTGCCGTGTCTGCGTGTCCGTGTCGTATCCGTGTCGTGTCACGTGTCCATGTCCATGCTTCTTTGCAGATGACAAACAAAGTCGAGTCTAGAGGAAACAAAAACAAATGAACTCCTTGATCTTGAAACTTCTTAGCTCTTGTATACGAAATTCAACAATTTTCACATTTTTTTTTTGACCCCCAAATAGCTCTCGGAAATTTTATTTTGCAAGGAAAAACCCTGCTTCTGGGTTTCAGGCAAGTAATAACTGGATTAACATGTGACTGACAATCAATCCAAGAGCACCTACCAAGAAAGATGAAATAAAATAACGATGATGATGATAATCCAAAACCAAACCAAATGCAAACCTTTAAATTTTTACTTTCTGAAACATTTACATACAATCTTTAATGTTGTTAAGTTCACTGATTGTTTTCTATTGTCCCAAATATAAGTCTGCAATTGACTTTTATTGTCTTAGTTTGGCATCAATGTTAAGTTTTAGTTCAGTTTGTAACCAAGGGTTTAAACTTTGGATGGAACAGAGTACTAATTACCAATTGACTTTCAACCATTAGACAATAATTTATAGGATCTTTAGGTAAGAGACTGTGGAGCATAACTTACACGCAGGAGTACATGTTAAAAAGTAGATGTGCAACACTTTCAGTTTATAAACCTCACAGGGTCAGCCTTGACTTTCTGGGGGCCTAAGGCGAACTTAGAAGATGGGCCCTTGGCTCTCATACATATTTTAAAATATATATATATATTGATAAAATAGTATCAATCTTCAATTTATTTTTATTTTTTACCTGTATCTTCTATAAATTTGTTGCATATGTTACACATAATTATTGACATAAATTTCGAACATTTTCAATTGTTAACACTATAATTTATTCACACTTTTTCCTGACGTAGTAAATTAAGTTGTAAAATTTGATTAACTTCAACTTTAAAAAATTTATTTCTGAAGCAATTGTAATTCATATAGTCAAACAATATTCTATAAATAATTCATACATTTGGCAAACAACCATCCATTATTTTTAAATAATTCACCAATCCAATTGTTTGTCTAAACCTTCATTTCTAAACTACTAATACTATAATGTAGTGTTTGGTTCACTAAAATGAAATTGGATTGAATGAAATAGCCGTTCCTTAGTCTCTTTATAAAACTATTACTATTTCCTCACGATGGTGAATGATGATTTCGTTTATAATCTTTTTAGTAAACCAAACGTGAAAATAGACATTATGATAGAATGATTACTCTATTCAACTTTATTTTAATAACCCAAACATAACTTAAGACCAAAATAATTAAACAAAACTTAAGATTGGAATTATTTCGGGGTCTTATTTTTTAGACAGAATTTGGGGGCCCAAGGCAGCGGCTTTGCCCGCCTTACCTCAGAGCCGGCCCTGCTCACAGTGATGCAAATTCTAGGATCTTCTCTGAAAGTTGGTTAATATGGTTCTCATACTTTTTAAGAAAACATTGTTTCAGCCATTTGCATCCTTTCCTATTTCAATTCCCACAAGGGATGTCAGAAGTGCATACAATGGATTGCGTGTGAACTACATCACATATAATTTCTCTCCTTGCTTGCTAGATCCACATTCTTTTCTGCAGAATGACTACTTCCATCCCTGATAAAGCTAATGTCTCAACTTCTTAGACCATCATGGACGAAAAAATGACTCATTGATGTAGCACACTGTAGGGGAAAAAAGAGATGAACAAAGGAGAAGAGAGATGAAGAGAACAATGGCCACAACACAAACAAGCATAGCCTATTCAATATCTCATTAAATCAAAAATTCTGCTCACATCAACCTGGTAAGGCTCCTGAACAACACCAGATAGTGGACTTTGAAATATTCTTGATTCAGTATAAGTTTCAGTTCCAAGATGAAACAGTCATAAAGAGTAAAGACTTACAGATGGATGACTCATGAGTCACAGAAACAGAAGGTATTAAATACATATAGAGAACTATATCGTCAACAAAGATAGTTTAATAACATTATTGCCACATAAAAGATTGAACAAATGTAATAAATGGGATAAGATTGCTGCTGCAACTATTATAACACAAATGTGAGAAAGCTAATGGGGTAGGCATGAGTGCAAGAGCAAGATAGACCTGTGCGTGAGTGATGTAGAACTTAAACCGATTCATTTCGCTGGCAATTCTATCCAAAAGCATGCTTTGAGTCTCCCTAATATTTGTTTCATTTTCAGTGTGTTGTACGGAGAATCCATTGCTTAAGTGATCCAGATCCTTCTCTGCAAAATTTACGTCGCCATTAGACCAATCAGCAGGCACACTAGGCAGCTCCTTTATCAGTTTCTCAACCTGCATTTTAAAATAGATATATAAAGTCACCACAATACAATGTAAATAAACTAATGGATTCCTAGAATAACTAAAATTTGAAGCATAAAGCTTGCAAATGCAATTTTTTTTTTTTTTTTTTTTTTTTTTTTTTGGGGGTTTGTATGTACAGGGTCCAGGGGATGTATTCCCCTTTGTGTAATGAATTTAATTTTACCACGAAAAAAAATTTAGCGAGAGAGAAGGATCTTCTTATTGATATGAAACCGTAGGTTGAAAAAATAAAAATAAATTAAAAAATTAAAACCTTGAATTTTGAATATTAGAAATTGTTGGAATAGTGTGTATCCTGATAAATACTAATCATTGACCACTCGATCGATACAAATTTTGAAGCAAGGGTATTTCGGTATTTCTGCACTCGTTTCTCGTTTCCTTAATTTTTGTGTATTTTTATAGTTGAGGGGGAGACAACTATGATATCTTTGTATCTTGTAATTTTCTGATCATAGTAAAACTATAGTAGCTGTGGACATAACCCTAGTTTTAGGATGAACCACGTGTGGGTAAGAGAGGTTAGAGGTTGTCAGTTATGGACTTGTGGGAAGATGGAGAGCATTTCTGATGGAGAATACAAGAAGTTCAAGGAAGGTTAAATTCAAAGAAGTGGTAATATTTAGACATTGGCATGATTTCGAAGAAAAGCTGATAGAATTCATATATAATTATATTTCTAGTATTATTATAGTCCTATTTTATAGTTTCTAGGATTTTTAGGTCAACGGTATTTTGGTAATTTTAATATTTGTTGACATGGGTTTGTGGGTCGTCCATGGGTTGTCTTGTGGGTCAAGTTATTTAATTAGTTTTTATTTATACTTCTTATTTGGTTTTAGATAGGTTCTGGAAGTCAAAATATTAGTAGTTTCCTATTTTGGAGTTTTAGTTGGAAAAGGAAGTCTCTAAGTTTATATAAAGTCATGTAACACTTCTAATCCAATAGAGTTGATATTTTATAGAATTTTTAGAGCTTTGAAGCCTCTTTTGGGTTTGTGTGATCCAACCCTAACTTTAAGTGTGATGCCTATAGGATTCTAGGAATGATTCCTAGATCCATATTCTTCTTTTCCTTCTTCTTCTTCTCCTTCTTCTTCTTACTTTCTTACTTTCTTTCTTTCTTTCCGAAATTTCAGTGTTTTCACAGCCCCAAAACTGCCCCGAACAGCGCTGTCCTACATCAATTTCAATGGCTCGAGATCACCGGAGATGAAGAGTAGAAGACCCAGGCAAGTTCAAAGTTAGAGAGGGTGGCAATAAGAGACCTTGAACACTTAGGGTTTATGTGTTGTGATAGATGTGGTGTTGTGTGATGATGTGAGCTGCTGCATATGCGATATGTTAGATAAACTCCATAGTATTGGAGCCCAAGCAACATGTTGGATAGGTGGTGAGCTCTCCTCAACTCGACAAAGAGCTGATACCATCCCTCCTGCCATCTGTAGCTAGCAGGTATGATATTTTTGGGCAACATATCATGCAGGCAGAGGCATGGGTGTAAGGTCAACATCGCCTCCCTCCAAACCTGGTCAAGGTAGAGTTGTCTTGAGAGGAAGACAACCAAGGAAAAACTTGATGATTCCATAGTCTTAGCGTCCAATCCACAATCCTCCAATAATCCCAAGCGGGGGTGCCTAGGCCCTACTACTAGCCTAGGCAATCAAGTGCTGAAGTAGAATGAGTGCACATTAAGGTGGTCCAAGAGCCTAGCCTTAGGCCGCCAAGTAAGCATATGTAGGGCAAGGACCCAAACGAGCACATAGGTGAGCCAAACTGCCATGTGAACATAAGTGAGCCAAACTGCCATGTGAACATGGGTGAGCCAAGGGCCCAAAAGAGAGCGTAGGTAAGTTCGAGGGCCTAACTCATTTATCTTGAAGCGCTCCATACTTGGCGGTGTACATGCCCCCGCTTAGGCTAGACATGTAATCCCAATTGATCATGGTGCCTTGGAAGCTATAAAGCACCGACACGTCCCCAGGCCCTACGTACGAGTGTCGGACACGGACACGAACCCGCGATGGACGTGCAGTAGACACGTGTCCAACACTCCCTCTAATGTGTCCCCTTTTTTTTTTTGAAATTTCCCAGTCGGACACACCATGGACACTTCGGGACACTTTTCGGACACGCGTGAGTGGATCAAAGAAGCCCTAACTGTTGGAGAGGAGACAAAGAAAGAGAGAAAAAGATCGAGGGAGGAGAGGAGACAGAGAAAGAGAGAGAGATCGAGGGACAACAAGGAGCCTTACCTGTTCAGATCAATCGAAGAAGCTGAGGTATGATTCTTCATCTTCTCTCTTCTTCTTCTCCTTCTTCTCTTCGTCTCTGTCTCCATCTTCTCTGTTCTTCTTTTTCTCTTCATTTTCTTCCTCCTCTCCTCCCTTTCGTCTCTGCCTTTTCCGACTCTCTCTCTCACAGCGTTTTTTATTTCACTCTCTCTCCTCTATTGTTTCTCTTTTTCTTGATTCCCGTTTCTCTCTCCCTCTCTTTTTTTTTTTCTTTTTCTTTTTTTTTTTATCCTTATTTTTTGTTAAACCTAAAATTCATAGAATAAATTATTTTTATTTTAAAAACTTATTTTTTATTAAAAAATTTAAAAAATGTGTTTATTAATTTTATTATTATTGTAATTGTATAAGAATTAATAATTTTCTTTTTATTTTAGACATATAATAAATAAATAAAATTATATATATTAAACGTGTCCCCAGCGTGTCGTATCACTCATTTTTTGAAAAATTGCGTGTCCGTGTCGTGTCTACGTCCGTGCATCACAGCTTGGAAGTTTGCAACATGGGGGTGTAATGGCGATGATGTGATGCCCGAAGGACTCGTCATGTGTCGGGCATGATAAAATACCACGTAAATCATTGTAACCTATGTGTGCGCTTGATTTTCCATTACTTGTTCAAGTTCTTATTTGTATTTTGTGTCTCAACGATCCAAGTTAGGTGTATCATTCAATTCCTAACAGAAATTACCTTCGCAATTAGTACCCCTGAAAATAACACCTTCAACTCAAACAAATGTTAGTGTTGCTGACTTAACATTTAGGTTTCGGCATCACAAAGCTTGCACTGTCTTTTCGCACTTAGGCACACGACGTGCCATTGGTAAAAATGATTCTACTACGGTGCCACAAATTCGCAAGCTGAACAAACTTGAATTCTGTTTTCCGATTTTTGAGGACATAACATAACTATCAAATCCTAAGAACCCCCCTCCCCCAATTCTAATTTGGTAATTTTCCTACTTTGGCTCTGCAAACAAAACAGGACTTGAATTCTATTATTCATTTCAGAATCTAATATACAAAACTTCAACCTAAATGCAAGTTTAAGTCAATTGTGTATTAGGCTCACATATTTTCAACAGAGACAAGAAAATCCATTTTCTTCAAATATATATATATATATATATATAGTTTTATCACTACATTTTCTCAAGAACCAAACGGAAAGTAATGTGAAATGAATACATACATACATACATACATACATACATACCTTAGACACAACATGAAACGTATCAAGCAACAACTCCAAGACCTCCCTGGCGGCGGAGGCCTCAGCTCGCTGCCGCAAACCAGTCTGCAGAGCAAGGAGCGAGGCCTCGACGGCGGAGCAGAAGACGAGGATCTTCTCGCGAATCTCGGAGAGGGGGGCGCGCATTCGGACGACGGCGCCGTCAACGTCGACGAGCTTGGTACTGAGGTTGACGAAATCGCCGTAGTCGCGGTTGATGAGGTCGACGAGCTCGTGTTTGAGAGAGGAGAGATGTGAATGGAGCTCGGATCGGAGGGTTTCGAAGGGGACGAAGGTCCTGAGATCGGCGATGTAGGACTCGGAGTCGAAGTTGGGTTGGAGGAAGGAGGATTGCTTGAACCATACCGGGTGGGAGTCGACTGGGTCTCCGAAGAGGTCGGCGGTGGAGCGAGGCGGCCCCGGAGATTGTAGATCCGCCATTGTTATTGTTCGTTTGGATGTAATAATTTTATAAATGTAAAATGTGGAATTTGGATTGTTTACAGATTTGGTAACGGAATGGACATTAGAGAATAGGGAAATTTTGGGTGCGTTTGGTTTGTGTTTTAGAGTAATTTTTGAGATAAAAAGTATGAAATTTTGTTTGGTTTGTTATTTTTTTATAAATGATTTTAGAAAATTGTTTTGGGAGAGAGAGTTTTAAAAAAAATGATTGATTTGATGTATATGAGAGAGAATGATTTTGAAAAGTAGGTAACCAAATAAAATTTTGAGATTTTTTTTGGAAAATTTTGTTTAATTCGATTACTCTTGAAAATTTGTTTGTGGAGAATTTTTTCCAAAAATTTTTCTGAAAAACAAACCAAACAAGGCCTCTATTTCCACACACCAAAGTTTCCTTACTCCACACACTTAATGAATTTTTTCAAAATTATAATTTTATCTTTTAACAAAATTACCGTCTCACCCACCGTCATCTCACCTACACATCTCACAATTTCTCCATACACATCTCACCCACCACCATCTCACCAACTACTTCACCGCTAGCCATCGCCTTCCATGCCCAAACCTCAACCATACAAAGCGGGGAACAACACCAGATTGTATAACTTCTTCAATCGATGGACTTCGTTCTGAAAATAAAATTTGAACAATTAGGGCCTGTTTGGTAACGTTTACGTTTTCAATTTATATTTACAAAAATTTTATAAACTGATTTTTGTTTATTTTTAGAAAAACATAAACTACAAACGCGTTTGGTTTAGACAAAATGTTTAAAATATAAAAAAGAGTAAGAAATGGCAAGTGGTTGCGGGTGGTGGGTGGAAACGAGTGGTGGTGGTGAAAGACGGTGGTGGAAAATGGTGGCAGGTGGTGGTGGTAGAAGACGATGGTGGAAAATGGTGGCAGGTGGTGGGTGATGGTGGCAGAAGACGGTGGGGGAAAGTGGTGGCAAGTGGCCTCAAAAATCTCCATGAGAGCTATGCTTAGAAATAGAGATATCTCAGAAGTTACACCTTTAGTACCAAGAAACAAACTACTACAGCTAAGACAAAGAAGTGGCTTAGTGCAAAGAAGAACTACTTGATCAAACCCAACAATGATCCAAAGGTCAAGAAAGTTTCTGAGAATGGGTCATGTTCTTTCATTGATGCTTTGCTCAAGTTCGTGTTCCTGTTTATGGCTAAAGTTGATGTTCATGAAAATTAAGATTTTTTGAGTGAGAAATGATGGAATGAGAGGATGTGCACAGAGAATGTGAGGGTATATTTAAAATGTGAAGTGTGTGGACTGAGATAAAGAAATAAAAATCAAATTACTAAATGTGTGGATTGAGAAAAGATGTACACAGAGATAATTTAGTATGTGGAAATAGAATTTCCCTAGAGAATAGTGTGTGTGCGCACGCGCGCGAGAGAGAGATAAGACTTGGAGTTTTTAGGACCGTTTAAAAATCCGTTTAAATCGGTAATTCGGACCAAATCAGACTGAACCGTACGATTTGGTTCAGTTTTATTAAGAACCGGTTTGGTTTCGGTTCAAAAAATATTGAGAACCATAAAACGGTTCGATTAATGAATTTTATGAAAAAATCACGGTTCGAACCAACCCGAACCGAATTAAATTTTAAAATATATATAGATATATATATATATATATGTGTATGATATTTAATAAACATCAATTCATAAATTCACCACACTCACGCCATTCTTGAGAGAGAACTCGAAGGGTCTGACCATTTCTTGGCCTTCAAATTCGTCTCCTCGATTCCATCTTCGTCTCTTCATTTCTCTCACACTCTCCTCTTATTTGAATATTACATACTAGTCATGCCATCAACCATCTCTATCTCTCTCAATCTCATCACAACACTACCTTCCACCATTGTTACTGTTAGGACCTCCAAATCTGGCCAACTATCTCCTTTAGTATATGATCTTGCCACCAACAGCTTTCCAATACCATCGGCTATTCACTCTTGCATAATCGTAATACAAGATCAGTGAGTAATTTTTTTACTTTTGTGTTAGGTTTTTTTTTTAAATACATAAATATATTTTGCTTTCCCGTTCTAATTTAGATTTTTAATTTAATTGTTTTGAAAGAGGGGATCAACAGTGTATTTAATCCATGCAATAATAGTAGTATTACACTTTGTAATAAGAACGAGATACTTGGGTTTTAGACCTCTAAAAAAAATAGTAGTAACTGGTGTAAATTTTGATTATAGTATGATGCTGCTAAAAGTAGTTCCATTTATCCCTTGTTGTAATATAACACACAAATTTACAAAAGAAATTGAAAAGGAAATGAAGCAATCTAAGAAGAAAATCAGCAGAGCAATGCCTTTAGCTGGAAGGTTTGATTTATGAAGAAAAAATGAAGATACAAGTTTCAGAAAATAATCCACACCCTTTTTCTGATATCTATTTATACAATATCTTCTTTTCTAACTACTATTCCTGCCCATATTGGTAACTAACATCCAAAACAGAGTAATTAATATTCAAAACATAACTTGACTGCTAGCTAATCTGTAGAAATTTAATGTATAAAGAGAAATAGAGAATTGTATTATTGATTGATTTATGTTTGTATACAATGACTCTCCTATATATAGAAGAGAAAAACATATTTACCTACCACACTCAACTCTCACCTAACACACTTACATCTACCTACCACACTCAACTCTCACCTAACACACTTACATCTACCTACCACACTCAACTCTCACCTAACACACTTACATCTACCTACCACACTCAACTCTCACCTAACACACTTACATCTACCTACCACACTCAACTCTCACCTAACACACTTACATCTACCTACCACACTCAACTCTCACCTAACACACTTACATCTACCTACCACACTCAACTCTCACCTAACACACTTACATCTACCTACCACACTCAACTCTCACCTAACACACTTACATCTACCTACCACACTCAACTCTCACCTAACACACTTACATCTACCTACCACACTCAACTCTCACCTAACACACTTACATCTACCTACCACACTCAACTCTCACCTAACACACTTACATCTACCTACCACACTCAACTCTCACCTAACACACTTACATCTACCTACCACACTCAACTCTCACCTAACACACTTACATCTACCTACCACACTCAACTCTCACCTAACACACTTACATCTACCTACCACACTCAACTCTCACCTAACACACTTACATCTACCTACCACACTCAACTCTCACCTAACACACTTACATCTACCTACCACACTCAACTCTCACCTAACACACTTACATCTACCTACCACACTCAACTCTCACCTAACACACTTACATCTACCTACCACACTCAACTCTCACCTAACACACTTACATCTACCTACCACACTCAACTCTCACCTAACACACTTACATCTACCTACCACACTCAACTCTCACCTAACACACTTACATCTACCTACCACACTCAACTCTCACCTAACACACTTACATCTACCTACCACACTCAACTCTCACCTAACACACTTACATCTACCTACCACACTCAACTCTCACCTAACACACTTACATCTACCTACCACACTCAACTCTCACCTAACACACTTACATCTACCTACCACACTCAACTCTCACCTAACACACTTACATCTACCTACCACACTCAACTCTCACCTAACACACTTACATCTACCTACCACACTCAACTCTCACCTAACACACTTACATCTACCTACCACACTCAACTCTCACCTAACACACTTACATCTACCTACCACACTCAACTCTCACCTAACACACTTACATCTACCTACCACACTCAACTCTCACCTAACACACTTACATCTACCTACCACACTCAACTCTCACCTAACACACTTACATCTACCTACCACACTCAACTCTCACCTAACACACTTACATCTACCTACCACACTCAACTCTCACCTAACACACTTACATCTACCTACCACACTCAACTCTCACCTAACACACTTACATCTACCTACCACACTCAACTCTCACCTAACACACTTACATCTACCTACCACACTCAACTCTCACCTAACACACTTACATCTACCTACCACACTCAACTCTCACCTAACACACTTACATCTACCTACCACACTCAACTCTCACCTAACACACTTACATCTACCTACCACACTCAACTCTCACCTAACACACTTACATCTACCTACCACACTCAACTCTCACCTAACACACTTACATCTACCTACCACACTCAACTCTCACCTAACACACTTACATCTACCTACCACACTCAACTCTCACCTAACACACTTACATCTACCTACCACACTCAACTCTCACCTAACACACTTACATCTACCTACCACACTCAACTCTCACCTAACACACTTACATCTACCTACCACACTCAACTCTCACCTAACACACTTACATCTACCTACCACACTCAACTCTCACCTAACACACTTACATCTACCTACCACACTCAACTCTCACCTAACACACTTACATCTACCTACCACACTCAACTCTCACCTAACACACTTACATCTACCTACCACACTCAACTCTCACCTAACACACTTACATCTACCTACCACACTCAACTCTCACCTAACACACTTACATCTACCTACCACACTCAACTCTCACCTAACACACTTACATCTACCTACCACACTCAACTCTCACCTAACACACTTACATCTACCTACCACACTCAACTCTCACCTAACACACTTACATCTACCTACCACACTCAACTCTCACCTAACACACTTACATCTACCTACCACACTCAACTCTCACCTAACACACTTACATCTACCTACCACACTCAACTCTCACCTAACACACTTACATCTACCTACCACACTCAACTCTCACCTAACACACTTACATCTACCTACCACACTCAACTCTCACCTAACACACTTACATCTACCTACCACACTCAACTCTCACCTAACACACTTACATCTACCTACCACACTCAACTCTCACCTAACACACTTACATCTACCTACCACACTCAACTCTCACCTAACACACTTACATCTACCTACCACACTCAACTCTCACCTAACACACTTACAT